GCAGGCAATGTGAATTGCGGAGAGCGGACACGTCGACTCTCCGAATTGCGAAGCTGGTGCGCACAAGAGTGCGAATTGTGCAGAAAACCACCCTAAGGCTCGGAAAGGTCCTATAGGAATCCATTTTGGGTTTCCTCATGTCGGTTTCATTCTTCTAAGTGTTAGAAGTCGATACCGCACACGCGAAACTCCAAAAGAGGACGGAAATAGGTCGAACTAAAACGAGGCGGGCACCACTTCTAAGGTTCTAAGATAGTCGCAGGAAGACCCCTAAGGCTAGATCCTAACTCCTACGAGGAATACTAGACCTCACGAAAATTGAAGTCAACAATGTTCCCCCTTTGATTTGAAGCGACTAAGAAAAGTAAGTTTTAATAGTGAATGTTTGATTGAAGCACATGACTGAGAGAGCTTCATAGGAGAAGGATGTGATGAATTAGGTGTAACATCAACTATTTGATTTATTGATGCATGTATTGAAATTTGGATGGTAATATTAATTTTTAAGGTGTGAATATAATGATCTCTATTTGTGAAGTGATCATCGATCGTATGTACAATCATGGATTGCATGTACGATTGATCAACTTATTACTTTTAGATCCATAAGTTGTATGATCCATGAGTTATATAAACATATCAAAATCACATCGTTTATTACAATTCTAACTTATATATCCAGACTAAGATTAGACTCGTTTAACAATTTTCCATGCGGACTTATGAATTAGTTATTATGACCATGAATACGCAATTCTTCATTAGAATGCTGCTTGAAGCATATGATCTAATATTTTTAATAAATTTGACTGAATTCTAGCTAATGAAGTGATTCGTTTGATGATGAATTAAGTTAAACACATGACTTCATGGTAATCTAGGTAATTGAAACGTTTGATTATCAGCTTGGGTTGAGATATGCTTATGATGTTACGGAACTATGCTAACTCAAAATGGTGCTCATGTAATCTTGGATTGCCTGCTCTTTGTAATGTACAACTTTTATTCCTGATCTCTTAATAATGTTCATTACATCTCGGTAACATAATCTTAAAACTATTAATCTTTCTTTTATTTTTGCAGACAGCTTAACAAAGAACCGGAGTTGCTATTCCAGTTGCATCAAATTTTACCTATCATCCAAGTGATTATATATATATATATAGAGAGAGAGAGAGAGAGAGAGAGAGAGAGAGAGAGAGAGAGAGGTAGAGTTTCGCAAGTCTGATATTTCTTGCAAGAGTCTATTAAATATGATAAATCATGCATATTTTTATAAAATCAACATTGACTGTTATTTAAGGGTTACTCATGTTACAGATTCGCACTCTAATGTACAACTGTCAGTCTAGCCAGCAATTGTAAACTTTGTCAAATTGGGATATCTTGATTTCGGTTCCTTTTTTATAGCCTTGTCCCTTGTACTCCTTAAGCATAAGGACTCAATTTCTTATATGGGGAGTATATTCATGTTTCATGGTTTACTACTAGCTATTATTTCCTCCTAAATGTCTTAGAAATCCTTTCCTAGCTGTTGTAGGCATTGGACAAACCATTCTATTGGTGTTGTTCTGTAATATTTTTCTATTCATTCTAGATGCCATTTTACATTATGTACCTGCAAAACATGTTGCAGGTTGCTACTTCTCTGTCCTTTTATAGTGTCTTTTAAAAGCCATTTTATTATGTATGAAGAATGCAAAGACTCTTTCCTTTATCCACTTAATGACCTGAAACCCAATATTACATTACGGAATAATATTTGGCTTTAATCTGGTGCAGGGTGCACTGAACACTATGAGGACTTTTATATGGGTTCTGTTCATGTCAAAGATGTAGCACTTGCACATATTCTCTTATATGAAATTCCATCTGTATCAGGGAGGCATCTCTGTGTCGAAAGCATAATCCATTTCAGCGACTTCGCTTCAAAGGTTGCTGAAATTTACCCTGAATACATTGTGCCAAAGTATGAACTCTCTCTCCCCTCACATCATCATTTCAGCCTTTTATTTTTTATTTTTACATCGTGAGGCTTTCTCATTAATTTCCCCTTGTTTCTCCTTTTCAGGTTCCCCAAGGATACCCAACCTGGACTTCTGAGGGCCCATAATCCTTCAAAAAAGCTTATTGATTTGGGCATGGAATTCCTTCCAATCGAACAAATTATCAAAGATGCGGTGGAGAGCTTAAAGAGCAAGGATTACACCTCTTTAAACATTGCCTAAGGTATTGCATTCTCCTTTCATAATTCCTTTATGAAGGATAGTCTTAATCTGTTGTTTAAAGTTTGCGGTGTTTGTGTAGTTCAGCTGCGTGAGAACAACCTTACGAAGCTAGCAAGTGAAATGAAACATTTTATATTTAACTACCTTAGTACTATATTATAATGTATTACAACTTTATGATAACTGTTGGCCTGCTTTATTCTTCGGTTGATTGATCATGACATTAGAGAGTACTGTCATGATCAGGTGTGCTGCATTTCCTTTTGCTTGGATTGTTTATTGCCATACATGTGCAGCGGTTAAAATGATTTGTGTTATTTGTGTTATGTATGAGAAATAATGCATGATACATGACTCCGATTGAGTGCTATTTCATTTTAGATGATTCAGGGTCTGAAATTATCATTTATATTATTTTTTATGTATTTATTAGTTTTCTTTTATCTCAATTAAGTTTATTAGGACATTGAGTCTTGGTCCCTATATGCAAGACCTCATCCATCACATTGGTTCTGGCTTTGTTTGACAATAGAGCATCAAAATCAAATGTTACCCTTGCTCTCACCAATGCCGATTGCACCATGTCTTTTGATGCTCTTGCTCTCACTCTAATCAATCGATGCACTGAATGCTTCTCTCATTGAATCACTATTGCTCTCGCCAAATAATGTATCGAAGCTGCTCTCACTGAACACTTTCGCTCTCTCTCTCTCACGGCACAATGAACCAAAGCTGCTCTCCACCAAAATTGCTCCTACAAACTGTTTTGGCCTACTCTCTCACCAAACGCTGCATTGGATGCTGCTCTCACCGAAGGCCTTTCTTGCTTTTGTTGCATTGTAGGAAGGTATTTTGGCTTCGATGGAAGAGAAGAGTTTAGCAAAGATTGAATCTTAGGCATGTCATAAGCATCTTATGTACATGTTGGCTTGTCAAAGGCCATTCTCTTAGATGTTGATGCTGATTACAATGGTAATGGTAATTTTAAATTTAGAAATATCGTGTCAAGCTTATAATATGTTTATATATTATCTTTGTTTCATATCTAAATTTTTTTGAGTTTCATCATTTTAATTTTCAGGACTTGTAAAAAATATAATAGATTTATCAGAGTGTTATCATATATTTTATTAATTGATGTCGAAATATCTACAAATCTTCTGGAAATCGATGCTATGATTATTTAAATCCCAAAATTTAAAAAGTATGTTAGCTTCGTGAGTACATAGGTGTTTTTGTCCTAGATAATCGTGATTGATATATGAAGTAGCTTTTCGTGTTTGTAAATTTTGTGGTATTAGATTTTGATCTATATGAGATTTATGAAATCCAGTATTTAGTATATTATTACATCTTTGTCCTGGTAAGATATAATAGCCAGTTACGAGTAATTGATTATTATTGTATTTTTTTATACTTATGGTTGGTTTGAGAAAAATAGATCTACTTGTATCTAGAGATCGCCTTGGTTGAATGGATAATATATTAATATTTTCTAAGTGGGTTAGTTTTGGATATCTTTGGCTTGTAAAGTCTTCTTCAAAATCTAGATGAAGGTTTGATGGAGGTGTTGTAATTTCTAGCTCATTAGTTTCTTCAGAATGAATTGTCTGTCCTATGAGAAAAGAGTGGATCTAAATGAGCTGGGTCTGTATGTGGCTTGAAAGCTACAATATTATGTTGATTACTGTAGGCATACGCAGTTTGATAAGTAATGTTGTAAACATCACTTTCTTCTCTTAATTTTACTCTCTATAATTTGTGTTTTAGAGTTAAAGATCTATTTAGATGTCGATCATTGATATTAACAACATAGTTAGGGTGTAAGTTAAACATTATGATTTGATAGCATAAATTTCCTTGTATAACTCCTAATAAGGCATCTTTTTTAGAATGTATAATTCTGTTATAGTATATCCAAATAGTTACATCTCCTTCTGAGGATGAGATAGAAGATTTAATTAATGTTTTAGCTGAACATCAATTCATGGCTACTACCATTAATTACCCATTAGTTGATACTCCTTCCTCATCTAATAATCATCCTATAGGATTGCCTTCTACATCAAATACAAATGAGGCTAGTACAAGTTGAAATACAAGCTCTTATCTATTGAAATCAATAGAGAATTATTTTTTATCTATTGAAATAATTTTGTTGAGACGTATGACTCCTTGCATATTTCTTGGAGAGCTAATTTATTTGTCCATCCTAGAATTTTTGGGCTAGCTGTGAATTTTTCTAAATTAAAACATTTAGCAAGAATAACAGTAGTAGCTATATTACTATTTGGTACTTGCTGATTTTGAATAAGTCTTATCCCTAATTCATGTATATTAGAAGTACTTTCTGTATTGGCCAACTTTTTATATCTATATTTGATTATATTTTTTAAAAGTTTGATTTTTTTAATCTGGTTTTGGTTTAATTCCATATACTAACCAGTTTGTTCGATATAATTTGTGAGTATAGTTCTAATTCAACATGCTGTTGCAAAATCATGTAGCTTATTATAATCCACTCATTTGAATTTCCTAATTGAGATTTTAAATGAAAGATTTGTTCTTTTTAAAATACTTTTAATTGCTTATATTTTATATTTATTTGAATTAATTCAGAAATTCTATTTAATTCTTGTTGAAGATAAGATTTATTCAACATTAACTTCGTCAGAAATACTTTCTCTAAGTTCTTCTAGAAATAATTACCTGTTTAGCTCTTTTTTTTCTCTCATTTGAGATTCATAAGAAGAAAAATTAGATTCATGTCCATGAAAAATTAGATTGTAGTAAAAATATTAATGAAATAATTGATAAATGAGTAATATAAAATAACATAGCCATATATAGCTATAATCTAAAAGGAGAAAATATTTTTGGACTATTAGAAAATACACTTAATGGAATCGTCAAAAAATGCTTCATTGGACTAAAAGATGATCAAAAGCAAAATATTAGAGAAACTTGTTTAGAAGAGAGAATTATGGGCACTCCTGAAAAATAACCAATTATTTATGGAGATTATATAAAATGCGAATTTTTAGGATATAAAATTAGGTATAACACTGAAGCAGAAAAACAAAAATATCAATCTGATTTAGCAAAATAAAAGATAACAACAATAAGCATTTGCAATTTATGTTATTTAAATGAACATAGTTGTGATTATAAAAAATATTTTTATGACTTTTTAGCTGATGACAGATTGCTTTATTTAGACATGTACTTTTACAAATAACTTGAACCATATAATATTATATGGAGCTAAGTATTTACAAAAATACATCAAATTGACAACTTTAGGAAGTCAAATACAATATGCTTTAAAAAAATTAGCTGATGCGTGTCAGCATATGGATTTACATAAGCAAAATAAACAATATAAACAATCACTATGCTGTGAAAAATTTGACTTAGCAACTCAGCAATGGGGCCGCTCTTCTTCCCATAATAATTATAATTGCTTTCCAAAACATAAAAAAAAGTTCTTTAAGAAAATACAAAAAAAAAATTTTTATTCCTAATAAGAAAAATTTTAGAAAAAGGAATAATAATAATATGAATATTAAGAAAAGTAAATGTTAGATTTGTAAATAGGAAGGACACTACTCGAACAAATGTCCCCAAAAAAATAAAGTAAACCATATGAAATTCTTAGCTGTTATAGATAAAACTAACTTAGAACATATTTTTATTTTTTTGATATAGATAATGAAGAAGAAATGTACCAATTATCAGACACAGAAGATAATTTAATAAATATAAGTTACTTAGATAATGAGATAGATGAATATTTATATTGTGACTAACGGAAGATAACTTTGACTCATATATAATTAATGATAATTCTATCGAATATGAAAGACATTACATTATCTGAAGAAGCTTAAAATAAAATACAACAAAAAAAAAAAAAAACTATTCTTAGGAACAAAAGACTGCTTTGAAACACCAATTTTTCTATGGAAAAAAAATATATATTATAGTATTCGACATGGTGAACATCCTATTGATATAATAAATACAGATGGAAGAATTTGAATACCTCTATATAACCAACAAATAAAAAGACGAGACTTAGAAAAAATAAAAACCCAGAAAAATGTAAACATATCTTCTTTGGAGGAATTCAAATTTTAAGTAAGGAATTGATAGTCCTATAACTATTTGGATATGCGATGACAAAATTATAGTTTCTAAAAAAGATGTCTTACTAGAAGTTATACAAGGAAATTTATGTTATCGAACACTAATGTTTAACTTACATCCTAACTATGCTGTTAATATAAATGATCGACATCTATATAGAGCCTTTAACTCTAAAACGCAAATTAGACACAATAAATCTAATAGAAGAGAAGGGTTGTGTACAACATTACTTATCAGGTCGCATATGCCTACAATAATCAACACAATCCTATAGCTTTTAGGCCACATACAAACCCGGTTCATTTAGATCCAATCTTTGCAAATATAGGACAGACAATTCCACCAGAAGAAATTAATGAGCTAGAAATTACAACACTTTCATCAAATCTTTTTCTAAGTATTGAAGAAGGCTTTACAAGCCAAAGATATCCAAAACTAACCTACTTAGAAAATAATAATATATTATCCATTCAACCAAGATGATCTCTATATACTATTAGATCTATTTTGCTCAAACCAACCCTAAGCATAAAAGAATACAGTAATAATCAATTACTCATAACTGGTTATTATTTCTCTACAGAACAAAAATGTAATATCTTACTAGTAACGGGATCTCATAAATCCCATATAGATCAAAATCTAATACCACAAAATTTACAAAAACTAAAAACTACAACATATATCTATCACAATTATCTAGGACAAAAACACCTATGTACACGAAGCTAGCATACCTTTTGGATTTTTGGATTTAAATAACCATCACATCGTTTTCCAGCATTTATTCTTAACATATGATAAAAATTCAAATCGTATATAAGTAGGCATAGATTTCCTCCAACAACATACTATAATATTTACACACAAAAGCATAAACATAGATAATTATATATTACCACACAATATGGTTTCATAACTACATTATTATGGAATTATATATCCATACCTACGAACATAATCCTATACATGCTTTATGTGATACAAGTAGCGATATAACTGTATCCAAAAAATTAATAATCACACCACAAATATCAACCCACTCCGAATAATTATTGCTCGAAACATTTAATGGTCTTCGAACAAAAAACAATATTGGATCAACAAATTCTGTCATTCAATCTGTTTCATTAAAAATACACAAATTATGGTGCCTATTCGATGACAACGGTCCC